CCAATGCCAGGTGCCCAAGAGGGAATGAACAGAACAGGTAATCACCAAGTGATCCATCCCCTGTTGCCCATTCCCAGCTTCTGGCAAACAGAGGCTAGAGACACCATCCCTGTCCATCCTGGCTAATAGCCATTGATGGATCTATCATCCATGAACTTATCTAATTCTTTTTTTGAACATTGTTATAGTCTTGGCCTTCACAACATCCTCTGGCAAGGAGTACCACAGGTTGACTTTGTTCTGTGAAAAAATACTTCCTTTTGTTTGTTTTAACAAACTGCTGCCTACTAATTTCATTTGGTGACCTCTAGTTCATGTGTTATGAGAAGGAGTAAATAACACTTCCTTATTTACTTTCTCTACACCAGTCATGATTTTATAGACCTCTATCATATTACCCCCTCTAGTCGTCTCTTTTCCAAGCTGAAAAGTCCCACTCTTATTAATCTCTCTTCATATGGCAGCTGTTCCATACCCCTAATAATTTTTGTTGCCCTTTTCTTTTTTCCAATATATCTTTTTGAGATGGGGCAACCATATCTGCACACGATATTCAAGATGCGGGTGTACTATAGATTTATATAGAGGCAATATGATATTTTCTGTCTTAATATCTATCCCTGAATGATTTCCAACATTCGGTTTGCTTTTTTGACTGCCACTGCACATTGAATGGATGTTTTCAGAGTACTATCTACAATGACTCCAAGATCTCTTTCTTTTGTGCGGTCTAAATTGGCTCTTACTACTCATTTTATATGTGTAGTTGGGATTATATTTCCCAATGTGCATTACTTTGCATTTATCAACATTGAATTTCATCTGCCATTTTGTTGCCCAGTCACCCAGTTTCCAGAGATCCTTTTGTAGCTCTTCACAGACTTAACTATCTTGAGCAATTTTGTATCATCTGCATCTCAGATGGTAGTCTGGTTCCCCTGGGCTGCTTCCTATACTTCCCCTTGGGTGTACCTGCTTCCAAGGGTTGTCCTCCGTCACCCCAGGCTACACTGCAAGTGGCAGTCCCACCAACTCCTCAGTATCAGGTGTGTCTGACCATTTGGATAGCTTGGGGGCCTGCTTGGGACAGCAGAAGTCTTCCACAGGCCCCTGCATCAGCAGTGGGGAGAACACATCCATGTCCTTTGGCAGCTGCTCTCCAGATGAGCTACAGGGCCCACCTTTTATACTTCCTGTTCCTATCCCTCACTTCTGCTTCCGGCATAGAGAGTGTGGCCTTCCTGGTTCTGCCCACCATGGGGCGTCTGGCTGTCCCTCACTCTCAGTCTCCAAGGGCAGCCACCTCTTTGCTACAGACCTTTATATAGTATTAACAGATTTGATAGCTCTCCCCTTTGAGCAATTAGCAAGCTCCTATACTACCTATTAAGTAAATCTGCTTTTTTAATAGCCATTACACCAGGGGAAGGGTAGGGGAGACTCATGTCCTCATGGCAGGTCCCCCTTATATAGCATTACATGACAGGGTTAGTCCCATTCCCAGGTCCTGCCTAAAATAATTTCAGAGTTTCATATGAACCACTCATCTCCATGTTTTCCTCCCCAGTCTTCACACAGCCTTGGGGGAAGCTAAACTTCATTCACTTGATGGCCTCCTACTACCTGAACAGAATGAAATAATTCAGTAACATACATAGAACATTCATGGCCTTTGCTGAAAAGGGTTAATGGTCAGGCCATATCCTTCCTCATAATGATCATCAAAACGGGTACCCCAAATCCATAAAAACATATAGCAAGTTAGCCAGGTTACATCCATCAAGGCACATCAGGGCTCATTTAATTCTGCTGCCCGTTTGAAGAATGTCCTTTTTTCTGACATTTGTAGGGCAACTACCTGGATTTCTAACCACAGCTTTACAAGAGGCTACTCTTGGGTAGAGGCTTCCAGATCTGATGTCCACTTTGGTAGGGCTGTCCTGCAGTCACTAAGTAGGACTCCTACTACCCATCTCCAAACAAACTGCTTATTGGTCACCAAGAGCGGAATCCCCTGTGTACAATCACTCCAAAAAAAGTTTACTCTCAGTAAATGTGGTTCTCAGACAGGTGTTGTCCACAGGAATTCCATGACCTGCCCTCCTACTGTCCTACTGTGGAGTTTTATATATGTGAAGGAACTGAGGGATAGTTGGGCCCCTCCACTCTTTATGCCCTCAAGTTGGGAGGTGGCACAAGGACATCAGGGCACAAGAATGGGCCCAAACCTGTTGGCCAAAAACCCAATCACATACACACCAAGAGTTGAATCCATGTGAACAACATCTCAAAGAACCAGTTACTGTAAGGTAATCACTCTCTTTCTCATAACCATAAAGATCCTACAGACCAGATCTGTTCTCTGCCACTATACATATACTATACGTAACTTGTTATAGCAGTCAATTGAATGGCTCTCTTGCAGGACAAGGCAATTTGGAGCAGCTCAGTCTGATTATTCAAAGAAGAGGTACCCATAGGATTGGGAAAGAAATCATTTAATATCAAGCTCTCAGCTACAGCATATATTAAGACAAATTACATGGCCCACTGAGATTCCCAAAGTGGGATACTCAGCAGCAGTATTTACTTGTTTGTGGTTTTCACTCCCTCCCATTCCATCTGGCCATCTTGCACATATGGCGAACAAACAGTTCAGCATCTTACCAGAACAGCTGTCCAAAAAGCATAGAATCATAGGACTGGAAGGGACCTCAAGAGGTCATCTAGTCCAGTCCCCTGCACTCATGGGCAGAAGCAGATGAAGATTTATTGAGGCCCTGGGCACAAAGAACATTGGTCCCCCCACACCCTGCAGGCCCATGGGAGCCAGAACCAAAGGGGCCATGCCCCTCCCACCCACTTTTTAACATGGGCATAGTAGCCTCAGGCAGGTGCGGAGCAATAGCAGCATGGGTGTAGTTTGGGAGGTGCTACCCAGCCAACCTGCAAGCCTCGGGACAGAACGACAGGAGGAGCGGTGCCACACATGGTTGCTGCCTTGGGCAGAAAGCCCAGGTGGCAGCAGGGGCAGCCTGTTCCTGGGAATAGGAGGGACCCAGTGGGGACAGCCTGGCAGCAGGAGCCAAGCACAGGCATAGAGTGAGCCTGGGTGCAGTGTGGCAGCCAGTAGCAATGGGAGCTGTACCTGTTACTAGAAGAAACTAAAAGGAAAGAATATTTAAGGACCCCCACCTCCAAAAATAAGTTTGATTCCCCTGAATTAGGGTCTATCACTTATTAGTTGCAACAGGCAAACACCTGAATGCTCTTAAAGGGTAAATCAAAAGGATTTATTAACAGGCAGGCTAATATAAAACATTTATAAAATAGCTTGGTGGTTTTTACCAAATACAAACAGGTATAAAGTCCAGACCCAACTAGAACAAATGGGCTAGCAATATAAAATGTCTCAATGTTATTCAGTCAGTATGGCCGTAGGCTGGATGGAGTCAGCTCATGTCTCTCTCTTTTGATGTCCAGAACAGGTGTGCCTTCACCAGTAGAAACAGGTAGGTGGTAGAAGGACCGTGCATCCCAAACACAGGCTACCTCCTGGGTGGACAGCAACCTGTCACACTTTGTCAGTCCCTTATGTCATCCCGTTACCAGGCAGATTAGCTTGTGGTCATGTGACCCTTTCCTGTTCTTCCCCTTTGAAGCTTCTTGCCTTTGTTCTGTTACTGGGCAGGATTACTTAGGCATTAATGAATCAAAATTGGACACCACAAAAAGGGCACCAAACTGAACAAGAAGATGGTGCACAAAAATGGAGGGTAAAAGACAGCAAGAAAAACAAAATGGCTAAAATCCCCAACATGCTGATGGACCCTCCCTGCCTGGCTCATCGCTGCCTGTGACCTTCCTGAGGCTCCCTACCACCTCCCAGGCTGGGGAAGGGCCTCCTCTCCCCTCAGACCATGTTGAGTCCAGATGCAGTGCTCTTTCGGGTCAGTAACTGTCAACCACAGGAGTATAATTGAAGCTTTTTGAGGAAAGTGGATGTGGGAAGTTGTTCTGGAGACTTCCTCTCTTCTTGAACTCCTCATTCTGATTTCTTGTTGCTTGTCTCTGACTTTGTAGTGTGCTGTGCTGAGACAGCAACACTTAATATATTGTGGAAGCTAATGTTTGTGAAGTGCTGTTATCTTCTGATGGAACGTGTCAATATACAGCAAAGATTAAAGGGAAAAAAAAATGGTTCCCAGTTTACATAACAAGCTGGGAGATCGGAGGACTAAAAGATTTTAGGAAAATGCACTCTAACCAGTAGTCAGGGCCATGGCTATAGAGAATACCTATGCTGTTACACTGTTGGATCGGTTATTAATACCATGCCACGTTTCACCATGTCAGCCTTCCGTAAGGACTGTTTGTCCTCTCCTTCCCCCTCCTCAGCCATGCTGGCAATCAGCATACACGAACAGAAACACAGTAGGTTCTCTGAGGCACTCCATCCTCAATATGATGCTTTTATCTATCACCTACACAAGGTTAGGCCTCTTTACATGTCCTAAAACAAAAAGGAAATTTTTTAGCTGTAAGTACCACCATGTCAAGATTTCCTTACGGAAGCATTGTACATCAGGGAATTCAACTCAGACTGCCAGGGGTGAAAACCAATCGAGTCTCCCTCCCCTCATCTGTCAGCATTTTCAACATTTTGCTGAGGCACTGGTGTGGGGGAGAGAGGACACAGCCTCCATTTTAAGATTTGAAGCAACTGACAGGGACCAAATGTGAACATTTTTTCAATAGACAGCATTTCACATATTTATACAATACTGTCCCTTGGAAATTAACATCATTAGCCTTTGCATAGCCACAGTACTGTGCTGTAGTGGAAATATCAGGAGGGGGGCTGAGCACATCCTCGCTCATGACAGCTGTTCTGGGCTTTGGAGTAGCGAATAGGCACATTTTAAGAGTGGGATCTGTGCTGAGAATTCTTAGGCAAAATAGTATGTTCGAGGACTTAAAATAAACCCATTGACAAGATCTGAGGTATTAAAGAAAGTTTTATTTGTACATTTTAGCAACAGGAGAAATAATTGAAGATAGAGTTATCTGCTTTGTTGTAAAGAATAAAAACATTTAATTATAAATATTTAGCTAAAAAAGCGTGATTTATAAAATATAATCTGTGGAGATATATACACAGTTTAATTGTTTAGCAATTCTCCCACCTGACATTAAAGATTAGAGGTTTTTCTATTTATTATTCCACACTCACAGTTTAGTGCTCACAGTTTAAGAAGCAAAACAGACAGGTAAAGACACAGAGAATCAATCAGATAGACCACTGGTGTGAGTCTTATCTTGGAAGGAATTTGGGCAACAATAGAGAGGCAGAACATTAATGCATCCAGAGAGGCTTTGCAAGGAGGGATTGTTCCCCTTTTTGGCAGCCTTCAGAATATAGAGACATGTACCTGCAAGTTTTTAAAACTTGTGGGCAAGTCTCTTGTGCTCATAAGAAATGATTGGCTAAGGTAAGGTATCATGCAAGCTTACTAAATTCAACTCTGCCAAATGCACCTCAGTCTTGATTTGTAACCCATCTGCTATTCCCTTTCTGAGCAGGGACTGCTCATCGTACCAGATTGGTTTCATCGAGTAATGACTTTAAGGACTTCATGAAAGTCACTTTTGCACTTACAACCTCAGCATGTGAACAGACTTCCAAAGGTGAGAGGCTAATGCATCATCCAATTGTACTGCCGAGCTGGCAATATTTCTTAGACATAGATACACCTACTTGCTTCTTCTAAATTTAAGGGCCTAAAAAAGTCTAGTGAGGCTATGGAGTGGATTAATAAAATGTAATGTGACAGGTCAAAAACCCCATCAGTTTTCTATTCCATCTCTAAAGTACTGCTAATTTTTCTCCTGCCAAAGTCGAGGGTAAGGTGTTCTTTGAGGAAGTCCAGCTTCTTTTACTGAAAGCGTTATCAATATGCCATTTCAGAGGGTAAAAGCTGGAAGGCTCCAATTATAGTCTTGGCTAATAGAAAAGATATGTGACTGTCCATTTCATTCACAGCCCTGCTGACTATCCTCCCTGTTCACAGTGCTGCCTCTAAAACCTGTGTATTTGGACTCTGAGGGGGGGAGAGAGGAGAGAAAAGAGAAAAGTAAAGGACGTATGATATTCCTGCTAATGTTCAGTGGAGGGTAACATACAGGAAAGTAATCTGTATTTTGTACCTCCTGATTTGCATAAAGATATCATGGGAACTAAACAGGAGGAAAGGGGTTATGAAAAACAGAAACCAAGGAAAAAAATATAGTCAAGAAACATGGTCATTCTTTTTGGGTTAAGGAAAGCTGATTTGCTACCTGGTTTTTCAGCATTAGGATGAACTTTAATTTCCCTAAGCACTACCTGACAGTTCAGAGTGATGATTATGTACACAGTTCTTATTGTTCATACCATATGAAGACATGGTAGTTGTAAGAGCTGTACCCTTTGGAATTGAGTTAGAAGCTTCTGTCTGAAAGGATGGTGAAGTTCTAGCAGGAGATACTCTCCAGGCACAGTCGTGATTCATGGAAATGTACCAAGTTAAGAGAAGTCTCTTGTGGTAGAATGGATGGTTACTGGCTGAATGCAGACTTTAGCTCCCTGAATGCTGCCCGACGGTGTTTCTTCTCTTCCTCCTCCCGCTTTCGTTCATCCTGCTCTGCCTTGATCTCTGCTTCAAACTTGCTGGCTGAAGAAAGGGCTTGAACCTGTAAAGGAAAAGAGCAGACATGAGCTATGGGAAGCATTAAGAATTTGAACTACCTAACAGCACATCTGTCTGCCACATCTTCCTCCAGTTACCATATTCAGTGGTGCCAAAATTGATTAAGGATTAACAATACTACAGTAGCTGGGTATTTACACTGAAGACCTGTTGGTTCAGTTTTATTCTCAAATCAAGAGGATAGTTTCATTTACCAATAGTCACTTTCCACTGGAACTGAGCCAAACAGAAGGAAAATTGTGTGGATATATTTATTCCAACTCATAGGAAATATTATTGCAACTTCTTTATGACCTTTTGGATGAAATACAAAATGAAGCTAAATGCATGAATTGACTTTCAAGATTTATAGCACAACTGTGTTGACCAGTTCCGTATCTCCCTTCCCTAATCACAGGAACTATGTAACTAGCCATTACAGCATGAGTCATGAAAACACAATGAACTTTCCCCAGTGATAATAATTCTTGCAGAAAATTTGAAAATTCCGAATTGGGACCAAATAAGAGGACCTCAGTCTGTGGTCCATTTACAGACCAAAGGAAGAGGCATAGTTTGAGAGTTGTTTTTCAGCTGTAATTTCCAACCTTTGTTTTAACAGCTCTGCTATGCTATTCCCAATGAGTATAACAAACATCTATTTTTGTCCATAGAATTCCTTTCCGACAGTGTTTTACCAGCTCAAAAAACCCAGTCCAACCAAACATGAAGATAGAGCTTTGTCGTGTTATTCAAATCTAATGCTTTATGATGTTATTCCAACCTAGAAAACTGAATAGACAAGGAGAGCAATCTCAAATATTGTATTCAGAACTCAGCTCTGTGTGCTGGTGCAGGAGAAGAGGAAATTCCTTGCAGTGAATATTAAAAGTTGGTCCAGGAGTCCTGGTCTGTGTGGTATTCAGTGATCACCCAAAGCTTAAGGTGCTTGTAAAAGCTCTGCTTTATTCTGTGACCAGTTCCAACTGACTGTGTTTAAGAACAAAAGCTTGACAGCACCCTGGCCCAGACTCTATGGGTATGTCTACACTGCCATCGGGAGGTGTGACTGCAGCATGTGTAGACATACCCAAAGCTAGCTCAATTAACAATAGGAATGAAGCCACAGCAGCACAGACAGCTGCATGGGCTAGTCTTGCCTGACCAGGATCCCAGGTAAATAGTCAAGCAGCCACCGCCCATGCTGCCACAGCTTCACTGCTGCTATTACTTGAGCATTACTTATCACACCTCCTGACTGCAATACAGACACACCCTTTCTCTGGGAAGCTTAGCCCCTAATATCTCAGTCTCCAAGATATTTTGTGAACTATTTTTGGATGACTACTTATTTAAATGGCTATTTCAGCCACAGAGATGGTGGGCAGGAGCACAAACGGGATGGATTAAGTAAGACATCTCCAGGGTGCTTGAAAGGGAAGGAACCACCACTTGAGCAAACCCTGGCAAAATAAGCCATTTTATGGTTCATTTATCAGCAGTGAGTAATGCTCAATGCTGGGGCACAGCATACAAGTCTGAACAAGAAGTGGCATAACCCAGCACGACAGTGAGGCTGTGTACTCTGTGTTGAGAAGGAAAATTCACAGCTTCTTAAACTGGTGGAATAAATGGATATAATCCCTGGTGACACTGGCATACTGTCCAGCAGTCAAGCACAATGTCCATTCCAGGGGACACATTAAGAAGAGAAAACCAGGACTTGCATAGCAAGCTTTTTCAGCTTCCCCAACTCCACTGCACCACCATACCTTAGCTTCAAAGAAGTTCTTGGCTCCTTTAACTCCCTCAGTGGAAACATCTATCTCAGAGAGTTTTGCCAGAGTCATCAGCCCACTGTCTTCCTCAAGCTCTCCGGCTGCAGCTTTATGGAAAATCAGCAGGAACTAGCAAGGAAACAAAAAATAGACCCACCAAAATTCATCACTGAGGCTCAAGCTTTCAAAGAGGTTTATTACTATTCCAAGCACTTGAACTACAAAAGCAGCAACTGAAGTACGAACCCCAGGCTAGGAATTTGAAGTTACCACCACAGAAAAACATTTTATAAACAGAAAGGAAAAATGTATTTACAATAAGCTGCCTCCAGCACTTTGGATCCAGTACTGCACGCTCTCAGGCTGGAGAGAGAGGGGCCTTTAGGGAAAGGAGAAGGGGCTTCCCACAGACCAGAGCTTTGGCAGCAGTGTGGTTCATGCATTGCCTAATCACGGACACCACCAGGGCCCAGAGGAGAGGATGGTCTCTTCTCTCCCCTCCCCCAGCTGAGCGAGTAGTACACCTGCACGTTGTGATTCTCTGGAGGGCGCAGCTGCCTCAGTGTGTGCCATAAAGCTGCCACATGTGCTGTCACCCCAAGCCATTTTGGTGGCCCTTATGTCAGAGTTCACCACGCTATGCATTACAGGGTCTCAGATCACACTGCAGAATACATAACACACTGAATAAAAGCATGAGAACAGAAGCCTGTCCCCACCCTCAAATGAATCCCCACTTACTGTCCACAGTTGTCCAGATAGGCTCAATGGAACCTACATCACACAGGACTCAACTCCATAGACAGGACGGTGCATTGTACGCTAGTGCTTGGAAGGGATCAGGGAGAGCTTTTGACTCCCATGAAGATTCCCTTTAGCTGTGCAGGCCAGTCCAACTTCACTGTACTATATACAGTAGTATAAAGACCATCTCAGGTCAAATGTACCTGAACACTGGAGTATGAGTGTGGACACTTCAATCTTTACTCTTGTGTAGGATCAGGGAGAAATTATGGAACCCAGGACACCCATCCTTTACTTGAGGAACTACCAAGTAGTTCAAGCTCTTAATATAATGCCCTTCTACCTTTGTAGAGAAGGCTGGAGCACTGGATCATTTTTTAAGAGCATGTTAGACAAACACCTGTCAGGGATGGTCTAGATAATACTTAGTCTTGCCATAAATGCAGGGGACTGGATTAGGTGACCTCTCAAGGTCCCTTCCAGTCCTATGATTCTATGATCATGGATCAAAGCCAAATTCCCAAGAGAAAAAATGGTTACTGACCTTCTGTAACTGTTGTTCTCTGGTGATCTTCCAAGAGAGAAGTAATAGAGGGCATGACACTAAAGGTTCAAATGGAGGGCCTGTGAGCCTTAACAGGACCAGGTTTAAATCCCATGTAAGAATCGGCTCATGGACCTGAGGACAGAGTCTCTCCAAACCCTTGAGAAATTGGACCATCATCTGATGAGAGAACACTGACCAGATGTTCACTGGTGGGTGGAAGATAGAGATTGCTGCTAAGTGCACCTTGATAGATGCAAGGGCCAAATCTTGCTGCTTTAGATAGAGCAAGTAGTCCAAGATAGCCTGCAGGGAAGAATGAACCAGAGAGAGACCTCGTTGAGACGTCCATCTCAAGAAGCATTTCCATTTGGCCACGTACATAGCCCTAGTTGACTGTTTCCTACTACCTAGCCAGACCTGTAGAACCAGCTCTGAAATGCCTGCTCCTCCAGATTCAGCCATGTAACATCCATGTTGTCAGGTGAAGGGAAGTGAGATTCAGGTGGACCACAGCTTCAGCACAGCTTCAGTGGCTATAGTCTTGTGTGATCAGGTCCGGACGGAGCAGAAGTGGAAAAGGGGATGCTATTGATAGATCCAGTAGTGTGCCAAACCAGTGTTGATGTGGCCACGCCAGAGCTACAACTCTCCGCTTGATTTTCAGGAGGTCTTTGTGAACCAGAGGGACAGGGGGAAAAAGCACAGGCAGGGGCCCTGACCATGGGAGCAGGAAGGCATCAGTGATGGAGCCAGGACGGTGCCTGCACAGTAAGAAAAACTGATGGCACTTCCTGTTCTGCTTGCTCTCAAACAGATCTACCTGGAGAGATCCCCACCTTTGGAAGATTGACCTGTGATCTCTGAGTGAAGGGACCACTTGTGTTGAGAGGAAAAGGATCGGCTGAGGTGATCCGCCAGTGCATCCTGGGAGATGTGATGCCTTGAGGTGAATGGAGTGCTTCACGCAGAATTTCCACAGACAGATGGCCTCCTGACAGGACCGAGCACTCCCCTGTTTGTTGATATAGAACATGGCCACGGTATTGTGGGGGAGATCTGAGATCTGGGGGAGGAACACTTGGCAGGCTAAGCATACAGACCTGAATTCCCTGATGTTTATGTGCAGGGAGAGTTCCTCTTGGGACCATAGACCCTGAGTCCTGAGGCAGTCGAGGTGGGCTCCTCAACCTAGGTCTGACACATCCAAGACTAGGGACACTGATGGCTGAGGGGCGATAAAGGGTACCCCCATCATTACCAACTTCGGGTCCTTCCATCAATCCAGGGAGGTGAGGCCTAAGGGAGGAACAGTGAGCACCGGGTCCAAGTGGTGTCTGTTCGGGAAGTAGCCACATCTGTAGGGGTCTGAGGCGGAACCTTGCATGCTGAACCACATAAGTACATGTGGCCATGTACCCCAGAAGCTTCAGGCAAACTCAGCAGTTGTAATTGGGTGTACCTTGATCTTGGATATCAGGTCCAACATAGTCTGGAATTGGGCCTCTGGAAGGAAGGCTCTGGCCTGGGTTGAAATGAGCACCACCCCAATGAATTCTATTCTCTGAATTGGAACAAGAGTCGACTTTTGCTCCTTTAATCAATAGGCCCAGCACCCGGAAGGTGACTTGGACTATGCTGATGCTGTTCAACATGTGAGTCTCTGACCAACCTTTGCTCAGCCAGTTGTCAAGGTATGGGTAGACCTGGATGCCTCACCATCCGAGGAAGGCTGCTACTACTGCCATACGCTTCATAAAACCCAAGGGGCTGCAGACAGGCTGAAGGGAAGAGCAGTGAACTGGTAGTGTCATTGATTCACAATAAATCTGGGAAATCTTATGTGGCCAAGAGTGAGAAATGTGAAAGTATGCATCCTTTAAGTCGAGGGCGGCTTACCAGTCCCCTTGGTCCAGGGAGGGAATGATGGAGGCCAGGGAGACCGAGCGGAACCTCAGTTTCTTGAGAGATCTGTTGAGACAATGCAGGTCCAGAATGGGCCAGAGGCCCCCCTGGGCCTTTGGGATTAGGAAATATTGGGAGTAGAGCCCCTTTCCTCTCAAGTCTTGAGGAATTTCCTCCACAGCCCCCATGCATTAGAGGGATCGCAACTCCTGGGTGAGGAGTTGCTTCTGAGAAAGGTCCCTGAAGAGGGATGGAGATGCAGGGTGGAAGGGAGGGGACGGATAAAAACTGAAGGGTATTGCCCATTGTCACTGTATTTAGCACGCAGCAGTCTGATGTTATGCGGGACCATGCTGGGCTCAAGTGCAATAGACGGTCCAAAAATAAAGGGGAGGCAGGATCTGAAGCAGGAACAGGTATAGCACCCTGGGGCACACCTTCAAAAGGCCTGCTTGAATCCACTGGAGGACCTATGAGACCATAGCTGGGAGTTTGAGGTGAACAGGAGTGACTGATGCCATTTGTAACCTCTCCCTTTCCTTTTGTAGGGCTCTTGTCTCAGAGATGGTGCTGATAAATGAGGTGGCTGTTGGAGCTTGAAGTGCTTCCTGGAAGCAGACAGAGCGTAGAGGCCCAGTGACCTGAAGGTGGGTCTAGAGTCCTTCAGGCCATGAAGCCTCATGTCTTGTCTGCTCTGAAAATACTCGTGCTTTCAAAGGCAGGGTCCTGGATGGATTGTTGGACCTTGTGAGGTACTCCTGAGGACTCGAGCCAAGAACAATGCCTCATGGTGACAGCACAGGCTGTTGTCCTCTGTCATATCAGCTGCATACAGACCTGGCTGGAGAGAGGTCCTGGCCACATTCTGACCCTCCTCTAAGAAGGCAGTGAGTTCTGCCTCCAATCCTGAGGCAGAGAGAGTCTGAACTTGGACAAGGAGTCCCACAGATTGTAATCATATCTCCCCAGCAAAATTGCTGATTAGATATGCAGTTGAAAGCTACTCATTGAATAAACTTCTCCCCCAACAGTTACAGGTTTTTTTGCATCATTTGTTTGTCGTGCTCATCTGGCCCTGCATGTCCCTTTTGTTAGCTGCTGACACAATGAGGGACCTGGGGTGAGTGTGCGTATGCGAGTACAGGTATTCAAATCCACTTGCTGACACAATGTTTTTTTCTGCCCTCTTTGAGGTAGGGTGCAGAGGAGTTGCCGCCACAGGGCCTTGACCAGACCTATTACAGCCTCATTAATGGGTAACGCCACTTGGGAGGGAGCTGCTGTAGCCAGAAGGCTGTGGGATGTTTCCTTAAGCACCTCAATTTCCAGCCACAGGTTAGCTGCTATCCATGGCAGAAGGTCCTGATGGGCCCTGGAATCGTCTTGCAGAAGTGAGCTACTAGGCCCTGAGATGGCCTCGTCTGGAGCATAAGGAGACGATGGGAGCCACATCCTGAAAGTCAGTACCAGGGTTGGTACCAGAGTCAGGGCCTGACGCTGAGTGGGAAGGGGCGATACCCCAGCTCTTGGAAACTTCCAAGTAGGATCAATGGGAGGAAGAGCCAGATACTGGGGGAAAGCCCCAAAGGTTCCAGTACGGCCATTGCATAGGCCTCTGACCTATTGGTCAGGTGCTGGTGGGGCAATCTGCTCCGAGGTCTGGTGGCACATAGGCTGCATACAGGGTTCCCCTTCGGATTCAGATGAAGAGTCCTCTCCCGGTGACTACAGTGGAGCTGTACCCCTCTCTGCCCCCACGTGCTGCCGAGGGTCCAGGGACCAGTGGTAGACTGGAGATGGTTGTGATGATGGGGATCAGGGCTGGCTTGCCCCTAGAAGGTGCTGTTGGGGCCGGTGCTTGGAAGGAGTTTGACGCTCTCTGCTCCTAGTCATTGGAGCCGGCAGTTGTCTCATCAGCATCGGGGAGACAGAGAGTGATCGTAAATCTCTGGTTGCTGAGAGTGTCTCTGGGGTCAAAGACAGTCAGGCTGCTGGTACCGCAGTGGTTTCTGGGTGTTGGCAGAGGGTGCAGCACCAGACAACACTCTGGGTGGAGTTGATGGTGCCACCATGGGACCAGGGGTGGAGGAGTGGCCCTGAACCAGTCGCTTTGTACTGCCTTCCCACTGCTTGTCATTTTTCTGCACCAGTGAGTGCCCTCTGCCGGTGCGCTGCTTTTTGTGTTTCTTTCTCAGCATCAGAGATGGTGAACGGTGCCAGGAAAAACACAGTACCAGAGGAGCACCTCACACTGAAGCTCTTGGTGCAGAATCAGAGTGGCTTGGCTCTGAGGCGGGTTAAGAGTGGCTTCCGTTAGGATAACCTTGAGCCTTATATTATGGTCCTTTTTAGCACAGGGTCCTGGCAATTCTGGCACTTGTGCCTCATGTGAGTTTCTCCCAAGCACTTTAAGCAACTGGAGTGTGGGTCACTCACGGGCATAGGTTTGCTGCAGGAGGCACAAGGTTTGAAGCCCAGGGACCAGGGCATACCTGGCTCCTGGGGCAAAGAGAGTCCCTCGATGATAGTCCTTAATGCTAGCTACAATATCTATCTACTCTAAAACTATGTTTAAAAACAACAAAGAATTAGAGTCCAAAACCCATTGGGAAGAAGCCTTGCCGAAGCAAGAGTGGTCATTCCAGCAACTGTCACAGGTGGTAAGAAGGAACTGAGAGGGTGCGTGGCCGGTGGTGCCCCTTATACCTGTGCATAAGCGTGCGGCGTCAGAGGGCACTAGTGCTGGCCTGACAGATACCAGTGAGGGAAAAATCTCCAGCACACACCCCTAACATGGAATGGACAAGAGCAAGCACTCAAAGATGAACTGTTATCCATATTAGAAAAGAGAATGCCTTCTGACATTTCATAGACTGATAGTGGGAAGCAAAAAGATTAGGGATTTTTTTGGTTGTTCTGGGGGAGGGGAGTTAATTTTGTCCAGCTCTAGTGTTAAATCACTACTCAGGATTCTCCAGCACATGGAGAAGACCGTAGGACTGCATCACAGCTTTAAGACCATCACCTTGCTAGGCTATTATTTGGACAGAAGGAAGTTTTCTTCTATTGTGTCCATTAAGAATATAGGAGATTTGCTATAGCAAAGGTCCTTCAGTGGTCACAATACAGCTATACCCTGTCACACTCAAGGACGGTTTAAAAAGTGATAGAAGTGCCTATGCAACAACTCATTTTAAAACCCTTACAAGAGCACTTAACTAGAAATGTTTAAAGTACCAAGAGGTACCTGACCAGAGTGCCTGCTAGGTTATTTAAACTGTAAAAATCAGCTTTTTTGCAACATCTGAGAAGCACATTTTTCTTCCCCCAAAAGGAATTCAGTGATCTTCTACAAGGCCTCAAACTTCCCGATGGTGCACCAAGTTTCAGTTGAGGAAAATCACATTTATGTTGCAGTCCTCTGAAGCCAGGATTTATGATGCGAACACTAATACATGCAACATTAGTCTTGTTGAAGTACTGCTGTAATTATGTCTCACCATTGTGCTCTCAGCTATTTTGTAGCCTACACACTGGCTTTCACACAGATTCACCCCTGTGGAGAGGAACTTCACCAGGCCCTATTGTACCACTAAAGTCCAGCATGGAGGGGTTAAGTAACACGTAGGAGCATGTGTGCTCCCTTCATAAGGACAGATTTCAACCATACCAAATGTTAAAGGAGGTTCAGTTCTGTATTTCCTCAATCGGACAGGATTTATGACTGTTCCAGTGCAGAGATCACACTCTTCCACTAGAGGACAGCAGCATCTCAGCATGTCAGCAATCTCAGCCAGTTCCTTTTCCTTTCATCACTAATGCATCAGGAAAAACAGAATTGTTTATTATTTCAAGGACAGTTATGAGCAGCCGATGGAGGTGCAGCAGTTTGAGAGTAGGGTGGGCAGCATAACTACAGTCCTGGCTACTCTCTACCACAGCATCCAAGTTTAGCAGAAGAAGATTTACGCAATAGCCCTGTAAACTTGGTGTGCTTATTAAGGTAGAGCACACAAAAGGCAAGCTGTTTTATGGGGAAGCTTCCTACCCTCTCCAAACAAAATTTAAAATTAGGTGAGGTTTAGCTAAATGAGTAGATCAGCCCACTCAAAAACTTGAGAAGACCTCCTTCCATTCTAGTCAAGTCTGTTTTGTCCTCTCTTCCCTCTGCTAAACAACCCAGATATTGCTTTGGGTCTTTGATTCACCCTGAACCTCTGGTTGTACTAGTATTAGTCAGCTGTTCCTCCTCACTGTTCCAACCCCACCCTTGAAAGCCAAACTTCCTGGCATCCAAAAAGTCTACTAGAAACAAAACAGCCCAGAGGTCTGTTGCAAATGCAGTCCAGGAAAGGGTAGGTCAGTGCCTGGAAACACCCAGCCATGACCAATCACAAGAACGTGTGCGCATGAATCACCCTGAAACAGGGGAATCAGGCAGCATTCCTCTTATGGAAGATGGGCTGTTGCAGCAGGGAAAATATGCTGCTTTACTAGCTACTTCAGCCAATAAAAGGCACGTGGGACTTACTCACCCAGATAGAAAAAGTTGGAAACACAGATTATGGTGGCCATTTACCAGCTGGTGATGTAGAGGAGAAGCAAAGTGCATAATTCCAGAAATTTTAAAGACTCCGCTGAGAAGCACAGAGAGCAGGGCACACACTTCCAACCCCATGATCTTGACACCAACGCTCTCCATGATTCTTAGCGACCCAGTACACACACTCCTCCTCTGTCAAAAAGCCATATTGCAGTTACACAAACCCAGACAGAGTGCCTGCTGACCTGCAAAATGACAAACATGGCTACTGTAATCCTTGCCTGGTGTGTACAGCATGAACCTTGAGACATGAGGAGAGGTATTGAAGTGGAGAGGCACTGGGCCTTGAAGCCATCTATGCACAGCTGGACACAAACAGTACCTTGGGGAATCTGTAATTTACCTTAACCCAGATAGCACACATGCAAGTTGGGTCAGACTGAACATTTTAGTAGGCACAATGATCCTAAAATGGATTTTACTGATGCTAGATATGGACAGAGTTAAGTATTGCTGTTACAGCTATTATCTGTTCTTTTCTTTGGTGGGTGGGAGTTTGAGCCTAGGCATTGTAGAGTTCTTATGCTTCTCTTTTTAAGCATAAGCTGTTTAACCTGAGTCTTAAAGAGGAACTTTGTGGAGTTAATTGATGACATATTTATGGACTCATGACAAAGGTCATAGTACAAGTCAATTTTATAAAAGAACATGCCAGTCAGGTGCAATAGGAATCCAGCAGAATACAAGAAGAAAGTCGTTTACAGGCTATCGAGGTAAGCAATTCACATCATGGGGTTTACAGTTTCTTCTGCTCTGGTGCAGAAGTTGAGCACTGTGGGGACACATAGGAGGGAGCAGATGACTAGCAACTATGGACTCCCGCATAACGTCCTGTGACGTGCTGTTGTCCAGTGCAAGTGGTACACAGTGAATAGATGCAGGCGTCTGCTGCTGAAATCACTGCGAGTTGGCTTTGCTCTAAATATGTTCTCATGGAACTTATGCTCCTGTAGCCTCTCCTGCTCTGGAATTGCCTTGGTACAGCAATAGTCACTGAATTAGAAATAGAGTAACAGCCGTGTTAGTCTGTATTCGCAAAAAGAAAAGGAGTACTTGTGGCACATTAGAGACTAACCAATTTATTTGAGCATGAGCTTTCGTGAGCTACAGCTCACTTCTCAACAACTGCTGTTCAGTTTCCAGTTCTAATACCTTCCCACTCCCCAGTATCAGCACCCTGTAAAGACATAAACCACTTTCTTCCAAGAGAAAGTGGGGAGAAATTGGATTTTTTGGGCGGGATAGGTGCAATTTGCAGCAGCTGCTACAGGTTACCTGTTGCAGACTAATGGAACCTTAGGAACTGTGTCCTGAGGGTTTCCAGCAAGAGCAAGGAAAGCCTTAGTCAAGAGGGGCTGGTGAAGGCGTAGCAAGGCTGAGAAAATTTGTATTTGTTATTCTCAATTATCTGAGGATGCTCTGAGGCTGGAAAGGCACAGGGACCCTCCATGTTGGCACAACTAAATTAGACACACACACACGCACCTCCCACCCCAAACTGTTAAAACTGGAACACTGGTTTTAACCAAGGTTTGCCAAGATTACTTCAAAGAACCAAGAGAAAATTATGGCTAACATATTAACATGGTTCCTATTTGTTGACTGTCAGCAGAAGGGAAGCAGAGTTGGACAAAGCAACAATTGATTCCACCTCACTTGCCAGTGGGAGATACAGAGCAATTTGCTACCAGATAATGCTTGTGAGTTATACAGAAAGGCAGAAACAAGTGCATTTGCAGCTAGGTAAGGGCAGATAGCGAAGCATGGACAGAAAGTGTAGCGTACATGCTGAGACTTATTTTCCAAATGTGTCGTTTATTACAGTAAGATTTAAGAGTGCCTCTTATTTAAGAATTTCACTGCTTAGCCATCATTTTGCATCTGGCTACATGACACAACAGAGCCAGCTGCTGTGCACAGTATTTCAAGTGTTGACAGAAATCTCCCAAAACAGTCTTTATGACTGAACACACAGGGGGCTGCTGAAGCCAGCAGGATTTGGGGAAGCTGGAACAAGTGGGTGGAGCAGGGAGTAGGCAGTTGCCATTTTTGCTGTGGCAACAGCACAGGAGGGAGCTTACTGACTCAAGGAGGAAGAAGGGACACACACCCTCATGGGAGGCTGCATCTGTCCATTTTAATAATGGCAGTGGTATCTACATGACACCGGAAGTGTTCTCTAGTCCACACATATGCAAAACCAGGCCGCCAACTGAAAACCAAAAAGTAACATATACCTGTTGTAGAGGGACCCTTGCCCCTCAAGCAGTCGCTTTTGTGAACCTGGAACTATCTGAAGAGGTCTTGTCATCCCAGCAAAGCATCCATGCAGTTTCCATTTCTTGTGTTCACCCCTAGTCTCACCTGGGGCCACAGATGTGGTCTTCTGCTCCACCAGATTCCTTGGTACCATCCAGAATTATCGCAGGCTCCATTGATAGAGCCCTCAAAGAGAGTCCAGTTTATTGTAAAATGGGTAGGCTTTGTTCCCTGCCCCAGAGCCACTGCTGACCTAGACTCAGAGACAGACTTTCAGTTCTTCTATTTTTCTTGCCAGAACCAGTAATACCCTGCTCTCTAACATGTTTGTATCCTTGTTCTGACATCACTGTGTTCTTAAAAAGTTAAGCTGCAGCTGGTACCCCCTCCTGCTCACAAGTGTCCAGCCATCTGCTTTGGGTCAGCTGGCAGCAGACTTGCCAAGTCCATTGTTCCAAGACATGATCACTGTTCCAACAAGCCACTTTTCAGTGTGCACAAGTGGATGCTGGTGAGAAAGTAGCATGCAGTGGGATGTGTTTAGGTGAGGGGCTTCCAGAAAGCCTGACCTCCTATGCCAGACAGACAGAGTACTTAAGCAGTGACTGGTGAGAGGACGGTTTACATAGCTGAAATTAAGACAGCACTTCCCACCTATACTGGGATTTCATCTAGTGTAACTGACACAGTGGTTACCCTCATTCTGAGTAAGTCTGTTCCATCAGATGATGGTAGGAACACTCGTGCAACATAGAAAATAGTGTGTGCATATATGGTGCAATACGCATGTGCTATAAGTATGTGGCTAGGGACATGCTGAAACAGAGTCTAAGCCAAACAGAAAAGTAGGCAGGCAGTATTTACATTTTTCTGCATTTAAAAAAAAAATTGATTCCCTGCTTCTACCACATTAGATTTCCCTGTAGTTTCACAATACAGTCAGCCTTTTCCGACAATGCACTGACTGAGACATCACCAGGCTGCTCTACAGCTCAGCCATTGCCACAGGAGGAATTGATATTTTATACTAATTAGTGACCAACTAGTTTACAATGTAAACTATCAGCAATGAATTTTTCACAATAAATGTGGTGGCAAACACACCCAACTGGATACAGAGACTGCATTTAGAGTTGCTGAGAAAGCTGACTTTTCAGAAGCAGTACCCTCAGAGGTGCTAGCATTGAGACCCTACAACGTGACTGTAACAGCTGCTGGTTTCCTCATCTTCACTCATCTCTGTTCATGTCCTTTGCAAGCCTAGCAAGCAGCTGTCTGCACTCAGTTGCTGCTGTCCTAGTCTACTCATGCCCCTTCCTACCCAACATACTGCATCTGTTAGTGTCCAGCTGCTGCCTACCCTTTGTTCACACCCTCTTGCACAGCAGCTGCCAGAATTCCCTGGCACTTTTGAATTGAAAGTTACAGGTCCAAACAGTTCAGGGTTCAGAGTCTTGGTTGTGGAGACAACAGAAATCCCCTTTGATAAGTTATGGAGCCCTGCTCTGCCTGCTTGAGGCAGGAGGATAAGCATTACCCCTTTTAGGGGCAGAGAGGGCAGAAGAAAGCTCCCAGAAACAAGACAACTCCCTTCAATTGATCAACACCTGCCACGGCATCGTAAAAAAAGGGATGGCTATAAGTATATTGGATGACACTGTTGCTCAAGTCAACACTAATTATTTAACTGCTAAATCACTAGGCTTCAGTTATCCTCAGTCAGAAGTAAAAACTGTTCCCATCCAGCTCAGAGCTGTGATAAGTGCATTAAACTGCATTATACACAGGGCTTGAGATAGAGATCAACAAGTTTGCAGACATACTTGTTGACAAGTATTTCAAAATAAATTACGAAAATAAATGAAACTGGCATGATTATATTGTGTAATTTTGACAAATAAAATATGCAGAATTTTAAAATATTGTGTGCAGAATTAATTTTTGGCAGAGAATTCCCCAGGAATAAAGAGTTGCATCTTGTCATTCAGTTACACGGTGCTTTATGCAACAGAGTCTGCCTACTTTTCTCCCTTGCTGATTGCACCTTCACCACCGCATAGCCTATCAAGCTCTCTCAGGCTTAGAAGAATCTTGGCCAGGTTAGAAGAAGGAAGGAAGGAAGATCTAGCACAGACCAATTCAGAGAAAGGATGCACCAGCAGTGTTCCAGATTGCTACTGCCTTGGCTATGCAGCCCCCCCATTAGATACTTCTTTGCTAACCCTTACCTCACGGAAGCTGAGCTTGCCATCAAAATCCTCATCCACTTCCTTGATCATGTTTTTCAGGCCCAGGTGGGTCTGAGGTGCTTCCAGCTTCTCCATCATCAGTTTCAGCTCCATTAGGTCTATATACCCATCCTTTCCAGAGTCATACCTGAGGGAACAGAGGGTAAAGGTCAGTATTTGTCACACCCCCTGCTACACTGACAACACAGGGAATTTTCAAAGCTTGGTTTCACAACATAGGTAAGCGGTAGTCTAATTACTGACACTCTAGGCAATGTGTTCTTAGGATATTCCTCCAGAGAATGAAGTGTGAAGACAGAAATCCACCATCGATCCACACTCAGAGACATGGTGACCAAACCAGCTGTTGAAATCTGTTAAGTTTGGGGAAGTCACATGAGGCCTTTGAAATTAGCTTCCTTAGGATAAAAGCAGATTAGTCTGTAGGGAAAAATGCACAAGTGACTTCAGAGCAACTGTGCCAGAAATATGAAGGGAGGGAGTAGGGAGGAACCCACACCACCACCACCACCACCAGACTTTAGGCCCTTGCCCATTGGTAATGTAAATACACATGCCTTGCAGTCCTAGTGAAGTGTTTATCAATCCATGCATTCCTACAACTCAATGCTCTCTAATACATTTGTGCATGGTGTAGGATTCAAGTCAACACTGTATGCCAGGCACATACCAGAGAGCTACCCAATGCCACACCTAGAAATATCTATTCCAGCCAACGTCTTTCACACTACTTTAGAATTTAAAAAAAGATGGGATTGTCACTCAACCAACAGGAAGCCAAAATACTCTGGCACAAGTATTTTACTATTTGAAGGGCTCCCTGTAACAGACAGATGCTATATAATCTAAGAATACTGATTCTGTAATAAATTTTATGAATACCGTGTGTGACCTGGTCAATAATGTTACTGTATAGTAATTACTGAGTTAAGACTTTTCTGTATGAATGTACTGAGCCAGCTTACTAGGTGACTATTGGGAAGACCATCAGAGAAACAAGAGGATAGCTATAGCTAAACAACCTCTCAAATACTTGGGGGGCAATTACAGGACAGTGGCCTACTTCCAGGCTCCAACTTGAAGTTATACAGCTGTTTTGCCAGCATTGGGAACTACCAGATCAAAGGGCTATGAACAGTTATGAAGTGGACTTGTTCTCTGAGAAGAGAGGTCAAAGGACAGGACAAGATTTGAAGTGACACTCTGGTGCAGGGGAAGGAGAGAACTGTTTTGTCAGTTAAGGGAAGAGACTGGTCACCCAGACCCTAACAGTTTTGGGGGTCCATAGGAAGCTTAAACCTACCAGAAGCCCGATGTGGGAGATGGGGAGGCACCTGGTAAGGTGAACATGTGTACACTGTTTATCTTTTACAAGATCTTTTCTCTGAAACACTGTTGTTCAAAATACATACATTGGTCATTGTCTTAACCACTGATCACTGCTCCTGGAGCGAACAGAACTGCAGGTATTGAAGAAAAGTCAGGCCTACTGAGATAATCATGGTTACCGCCCGGAGAGTGCAACTCAAGGCTTGATCTGAGAGTTGAAGAATCACAGGATTCCTGCTCTAAAAAGGAGCTAGTTGGAGCCCCTGGACCTGAGAGAAGGTACCCCAAAGAGACCAGGAGGGAGGAGAGGAGTAGATAGCCCACTAACTGTGACACTCACTAATGGGGGGCTAGTAGGAATTTTTAGGTTGAGGAGAAAGGTGAGAGAGTCTGCTCCTTATGCAAAATAAAGGATCACTTTAGGAATGCACAAGGATCCAGAAATGGGAGTCTGCTGCAGGGTATCTGGCAATTTAAAGGAGAGAAGTATGGAGCAATCTATTGACTTTCAAACAAAGGTCTGTGATAAACAGATTGAAGGCAGCGGCTGGGTGCAATAAAACTGAAGACAAGCAGCTCTTGATGCAGACACAGACTGCTGTAGGCTAGACTGTTACTTCCCTAGATTCTGAAAGAGAAGAGAGCTCTTCACTGTTAAATTTCATGTCAGCAAAACTGCTGTTTCTCATAAGTCAGCAGAGATCCCAGCTCAGAAGCAAGCAGCAAGATGAAAGCTAAGACATTAAATGGACATACTATGCTGGTCTGATCTTTAAAAAAAAAAAAAAAAAAAAAAGTACTTGATTTTCTAGCAGCATGTCCCATGCCAACTCTTTTACAGTAGTGCCTTTTCGTGCTTTGCTGTGGGCTTTAGGCATGTGCTCATAAGGCTTTTACTCTTCCTTTAGAGGGGAACAGCAATACCTGCTGGGTCTTCAGTGGTAGAAGCCAATGGATTTAAAGTGTTAATAGATGAACATGAGACTTTTGATAATTGAGGAGACTTAGGATCACACAGATTCCCCACTGGTCTTCTTCCTTATACCTAGAGAACCACATTGACTCCAGGAGAGATGGAGAGGAGAAGGAAGTGCATTGTAATTAAGGCAATAGGGGTGATGAGTGAATTGGAGCTGAGAAAGCAAAGAAAGGAGCTCTAATGCTGAATGAATAAGGAAGGGATCTCTGCCAGTTGCAGCACTGGCTGGCTGACAAGAGCACAGCATCACTCTGGATAGGGATTCAGTGCCTAACTTAGATAAGAAACCACTGCAGAATGGCCGGAGCTGGGTGAGTTTCCTAAGTGGAAGGAAGAGGGGGGAGGAATCTGACTGCAGGCAAACAACACTACTGTATATCCCATTTTTTCCCTTTACCCTATACTCTTCTCCCTAATCCATTCTCAGCTTCACTCCCTTCCAACATTTCAGAATTCTTAAGTTCGTTCAATACTTTTGATGGCTTCAGAAAGAAAGTCCCAGTCACAGCTTTTAAGCTTTCCTCTTTGGCCAGAGCAAGTCAAATCTTCCCATCCTTCATGTTTCACTCACCAGGAGTTAGGTTTCAACAAAAACTAGCCTTCCCAGACTTTAAGAGCAACATCATCACAGTTCCCTTGAAAGAAGCTCAGTCCAGTTAAGAAGCTTATACAGTCAGAAAAGAAGCTGCAGTAAAAACAAACATGAACAAAGCTGGTGGTCTCTTAGCTGTTGCATGGAGTGAGCAGAGTGAGGTGGGGGTATAACCAGGACTGTCCCCCTATCCATAAGGGGGAATACACACAGGGGAAAATGGAGAATGCTGCTTCTCCAATGGGTTGGGACGGCTTCAAAGTCTGTCAGAACCCTAAGTGCCAGGGGCTGCTATGGAGCTTTCCTACTTTTCCCATTGTGGATCCAGGGATGGCACCCTAAAAGGAATCCCCAGCACCCTCCCCTTTTCCAGCAGCTTGAAGGGAAGAGGAGGAGGAGTTGGCTTGGCTTCTTGCTTGACCATCACTCTTGGCTAGTGCCTCTTCCACCAAAAAAAGCTTTCAGATTGATCTATAGTCAGTAGATTTAAGGTAAAATTTTCAGAAGCACCTAGTTACTTAGGAGCCTAAGTCACTTTTGAAAGCTTTATGCATAGTCTCCTGGCTATTATATACTTGATAAAGTTTCTAGCTGCATGGTAGCGGGTGCATGGATCGGGGCATATGATTGGTGGTGAGCAGATGTCCTGGGTGGTTGAAGGAAGGAGGCATGAAGGAAAATGCTGATGGTGAAGTATGGGGCTTGTCACTTTCTTCCAATGCTGAAAAAGGAATTGATTGGAATAAAGGAAAGGGTACGATCCCTGAAGCCCTCCCGTGTTTGCTTCACCGCAGAACCCTCCTCAAGCTCCCTCCCCACCCCCGTTTCCTGTTCACACCTTTTTACAAGAGTATATGGATCCACAGCGGTATACAGAGCTTTTGGGGAAAGGCGGTGGAAACAGAAGAAAAATAGGGAAATTGCTATAGAGACCAAGGTGGGGGGGAGGAGAGAGAGTAAACAGACATAACAATTCAGGAAAAAAGCTACAGTATGGTTCGTTACAGAAAAAATTGAGTGAGGCCAGGAAGTTTACCAATTTACCTAGATAAATATTTTCTAGTGTATTACCTGCCTTAGTATTAAGTTGCATTTTAAAAAGTGTCACAGCAATTTGATTGATATGGTAAAAAATATAGTATCCAATGGTTATTCTTTTTTAAGTGCAGGGAAAGGAGGCGCATTAAGTGGCAAGGGGTCTGGTATTTCTCTGTGGCTAGAAAGAAGCATGGTGTGTTTTTCAAGCCCTGACCGGAGCATCCAGTGCTGTCTCCATGACATGTATATCTGAGGCCTGACTAGAAATACGATTGGAATGAATATTCACCATCTGGATTTCTGACATAGGACACATCACCTTTTAAAGATGTGTCCATTAATTCAAAGCTGAAGCAGAAGGATGACAAATGCCTGGAGTTCCTCCACTCCTCATAAAAGCGATGGACTGTGCGCAGACTCCCTAAAAGGCATGGGATGATCTCACTCTTCAAACAACTCATTTAGCATTAGCAAGTTCATCTGCTGTTAGACAACATGCAAGACTTTACAATGTCCATCCTGCCAGGCTTGTAAATATCACTATAACAGAGTCTCAACATGTCACACCCAGCAACCTTTGCTACTGAATGAAACATTTGTTTCCAGATTGGGGTCTTTATCCTTAGATGGAAGGCATTTCCCAGTTTGATTAGTGCACCTGTGGTGATGGGGAATAAAGCAAGGCAGCATTGGCATCCCTGATTATCGTTCACACATGACTCCTTAAAATGTGGGTTATATAGCTCCAAAAGAAACTGATGTACTGTACATCGTGTATTGTATGCTCACTTTAGCATCATTTTAGTCTAAAAATTAGACATCCCACTGCCAAAAACTCAGTTTGACTCTGGCTTCTTATTCCATGATATCAGGAGGCTAGTTTGTCAGCTATGACAGCACTCATTTGACCCCTCAGCGTGCTAAGCCAGCCTTACAGTAGAAGGGCTGGCCCTGGAGGGGTTAGCCAACTGTACTTGGGTCCTGGAACTATCAGGCACAGCTTCATGGCTGCCAGCAAACAGGCAGCACAAAGCTGGGATTGTGAGAAATTAGGTCTTGTCAGTAGTGGGCTGAGATGGCAAAACGACATTGTACCAGTAGCACAATAGGTGTTCAGTTCGCAGAGCCAGGTCCAGCCTTCAGAGCAGGGCTTTCCAAAACAGTTTAACCTCTGGATTTTCTGTAACCACTCTGCTCTCATTTCAAGAGCGAGGCAGGGGATAAGAACAGCTCAGGAATACAGTATCAAAAAGCATTCCTGCTTACAGAGCCCTCAGAGCCAAATCTGAAACACAGGAATAGTTATGAACTGTACAGTGTATTTGATAGCTGGCAAGACCCCTTCCCCAGATGGATGGGGGGTGGGGTGGGGAGGAGGGGAAGAGGACTTGTTCTTCCAGACTCGAAAACTCGTTACAGATCCTGCAGAATTAAAATTGCATCCTGTGAATCTTGGATTACAAGCATACCACCACCCCAAACAGGCTTAAGATATAATAATATAATCTTGGTAAGGTTACTCCGGTACTTCAGAGCCACATGACCATGCTATTTAAGAGAGATATATTTGTATGATTCAACAGAGATACATGCATCCTCGCGTTTCATTGAGGCCTCTGGTTCCGTAACTAGCCTTGTGGGCACAAGCACTCAAAGTGTTAACAGGAAATACAACCCACACAGCCACAGATACATCTCTATTCAACCTGATGAAATCAACCCTTTGATACGGATAGTTAGAGCCCTGCTTGCTCCTTGGCCCTGCGGCAGCACCATTTTGTATGCCACCTGCCCTTGTGGAATCTCCTCTTTAGGGACTTCATCTAAGCTCCTTCCAGATCCCTAAAAAGCGCTCATGCTTATTTTATTGCAAATTGAGTGGTGGTGCAGCCATCCACCATCTACAGAGCATTGGAGGAAGCTGGTCAATTGAGTGCCATATTGAGGAGCAGCAAAGAGGAGGTGCAGGAGAACAAGTGGGTGCTGGAGTACCTTAGAGGTAAGTGGATTTACTTGGGCATATGGGGGGAGAGGAGAAGCTATATCAGCTAGAGCGCCTGTTTTCAGAGCTCATGTTTGTGGGAGATGGTGGTGAGACAGCACCCAGGGCAACCCCCACTAAAACAAGTATTTTTGGAGGAGGAGGGGTGCCATGGAGGGACAATATTTCAAAAGTCACTTGTATACAGAGTTGTATTTTTCATTATAGGTTGGGCCCTTTGTTAATCTTGCAGGTCCTGCTGGGAGCACTCAGACCTGCAGGCAGCTGAGAAGCAAATCCTGCATAGTCTGCATTTGTACTGTACCCGTAGAGAGAGTCACAGCAGTGGAATGCACAGTAGATAGCCTTGCTCAGAGCAAGTGCCATCCCACTGGTGTGCTTGACACTCATGCACTTCCACAAGCCCTTGTGTTGACTGTTACAAATGTGGGAGGTTTGTGACAAAGGCAGCAGTGCTGGAGTTCCATACTGTAGATAAGGTGTGGGATAGGAGCAATGACAAGTTATGTATCTAATTTTTGCCAGTGTAGATACACCCGTATGGCTACACTACTCTTGCCACTTCCTCTGCTAGTCCCAGCAGGGAGACTGTAGTTCAGGCAAAGCAATCAGTATAGTCAGAGTAGAGGCCTATCAGAAAGAGCAACAGATAGCAGGGTATGAGTGCTACTCCCATGTGAGCAATTTGATGGTGGCAAAGGGAAGGAAAAGGAGGAAGGAGGAAGAGTTGAGGCGTGAGAAGAGATGAGAGAAGTCTCCTGCACTGAGTAAGTTTCTTACTTAGTATTGGGAAGGCAAGAGGTATGCTACAGAGCCATGAAGTACTTCCCACTGCAGGGCTGAGTGTTTCTATTTACAACACGCAAGGAGAGTTTAAAACTAATTCCTTATCAGTTTAGCACTCAAGGAGCAGGTTTAATTGATATGTGGTAAGAACACTGGAGCCTTACTGACATTTTCCGCTCCTATTAGGGTTAAGATGAAACAATGGGCATTCTCCCCACAAATTCCCCTGAAGGAGACATGGCATGGAGGACAGAGGATGAAGTTCAATTCTCAGATTCACGTCTCTACCCTGTAGCACTGGGCTGCCATTTACGCAGGCTAGAAGATTGTGCCAAGGTGAGCTGTAAGGCTTAGACTCTCCAGAGAGTTTGTAAGAGTCCAAGAGGAATTGATTATAATGGTTAAAATAGTATTCTCATATTGTTAAAATAAAGAGCTAATTAGGTTACAGATTATAATTAGTCTGAGCTGCAGACTTCCTGGTCCCTCTGCCAGAAGAGCATACATTAGTTCTTGCAGTCACCAGAGGCCTTGTCTACACTAGCACTGATTGTTAAGGGGTAAGTTTACTGTAGACAAGCCCTGTAGCTCCCACTGCTAAAATGGCTATGAACAGTATTGGATGACAGAGTTCCCACCACTGCTACCCTTAGCAGCAGGAAATTATAGGGGGGAAAATTCAAGCATTGACACCCCAGGGGAAAGGGAGGGAAATAGGTGTTTGGTATTATATAACATGCAACTGTGAGTTTCCTCCCAAGGGACATGAAAAGTCTGAACAAAATTGAGTCACAACTGGGCAAGCATTAAAGACAATTCTCTCTAGACTAGAACCCCCCAAAAAACACAATCATTTTGCACCTAAGCTCAGGTCAGTGTAGACCAGTGATACTCAGACTGAGGCTCTTGAGCCACAAGTGGCTCTTTAATGTGTCTCCTGTGGCTCTTGGCAGCCCATGATATTAAAACACTAAATTTAATTAACAGCCAATCAGGATGCTTTTACTATATAATTAACCAATTGTAGTTGATAACATAATACTCGGGCAGTAATTTTGCTGTGAAAATAATACATAAACTAAATATTTCCCCCGTCATACTGTTTAAATATGAACACACAGTACAATAGTAAATAGAACAATGAATTCACACTACTGTGGCTCTTTTGGCTAATGTTGCTCGCTAGTTTGGCTCCTGAACCACTGAGGTTTCAGTATCACTAGTATAGACCCTCTTCCCTTCACTTCCAGGGTCTTCTACCGCCTGGGTTTAACTCAGAGCTCCTGTCTGTCCCACAGTGAACCTGCACTTGAGCCACACAAGTCATAGGAGCAGGGCCTTGAAGTTTAGGAGAATTTGCTTTTCACTACCTTTTTTTTTTTTTTTTACTGAGTTTAAACTGCCAGAGGCAGCAACAGAAGCCACAGTCATGGGTGAATTCCACACACACAAAGTTGCAGAGTGAAGCATTAAGAAGTTAGGAAATCCCAGAATTAAGGTACTCATTTGTTGACATTAATAGCATTTGCTACAACTAAAATCTGGGGAAATCATAACTAGAGGAAACACCATTATGTCAATACTGCAGGTGCCCTTAACATGACTCAATATGGACTAGAAGGACTATAGGTCTGATCTACTATGTCAGTCCCATGTTCCTACATTAGAATTAAAATGAAAGCAGGCGAGAACCTCCCGGGGTTCTTTATATACCAAAAAAGCCAACACATTTTCCCCACTTTGCAGGACACATTTGAGATGGGAGACCATGCAGCCTAACTTCTACTAGGGTTCTGGCAAAGAGAAATTAACATTCAGCTGGGACGGTCTTCATGATGCAAGAAATGTTTTCCACCTAAGTTTAACAGATAATTAGCATTCAAATACAAATTCTACATTTCACACTTATACCGGATCTGTATTTAATGGACTCATTGTTTTAAACAGTCTGTATTTCAGTTCTCCAAGTTTAAACTTTTTAACACTGTTCCTTTGCTAAGCCTTACATAGGAAGTACCCATGTACATTTCAGGTAGAGAAAGTTACAGCTGCTGGATAGCAGGGCAGTTAAAACATGAACATTGACGTTAAAGTTGTTTAGTTGTATGGGCTGCCCTCCCTCATCTCTAGGAGATCAAGGTACTCAGATTTTCCATAGAGTGGATCACATCTTAAAGGGCAGTTTGGTGCCCAACTCCCATTTGCATCTTTGAGAGTCTCCTGCAGACCAGCTCCCTCCCCATTTATAATTAGTAACGGGAGAGGGAGGGCAGCCAATCCATATAATCAAACATTCCTGTTGTGACTACAGCAGTTGCTTATGCAGGATACATAGGTCTTGTCTACACTCAGCAATCACTGGCCAATTAACTGTGCAGCTGCACTAGGGCTGACCCTAAACATACACAAGATCAAGCCAGAGTTTGCACCAGCTGAGCCTGTCTTGCTCCTGTCCACACTTAGGCATCAACCACTGTACAGCTACACAAAGAGTTGACAGATTGCTAATGACGGCTATTCCCCGAAAACAGACAAGGCAGGGACATCAGTGGTCCAGTGGACAGGGCACTGAGTGGGATGCAGGAAACCTGGGTTCCATTCCCAGCTATGCCTCTAACCTGTAGTGTGACCTTAGGTAAGTCATGTCACATCTGAGTCTTCCCCTCATCTTTACTACTTGGCCTTTACATTTTTCATGGCAAGGACAGACCTCACAACATGTCTGGTAAAGCACCCAGCACAATGGAGATCATGTTCTTGGTTAAGACCTGTAGTACCTATTGTAACACAAATATGAGAAAGCTAAAGAGCTTCCTTTTATGTATTTTAGAAGTTCAAAGCAAGGAGGCAGCCCAGCAACGTGTGACCAGCCAGCTATCCACAGGTCACTGGTGGAGCACGGGCCACAGTTTGCGAACCCATATTTTGTGAGAACATCTAGGTAGGGGAATGCAGTTCTTTTAGCAGAAGAGGCAACGCACCTCCCCCTTTTTCTATCTACTTTAGCCACTGGATATAGCTCCGTAGAGAGTTTCAGGAAGGAGGGGGATTATATAGCTCAGGGCTTCTGTAATGGATTATGAAACCCATTACATTTAGCTCATTACATGCTAAGCTTTCAACACCTATCAACTTTTGCTCACTGCCAATATCTATTATAAGTGGCTCCCAATCCTGCTCTTAACAGACATGATCACATCGCTGAAGATGACCTCTATTTATTGCCACCCTATGGGGCAAAGGAACTCAGTTTTGTAGTTACAGACCTGGAAAAGAACACAGAAGTCATACACACCTGATTGTCTCCCCCTTCCTATGTAGTCTGTTTTTTTAAAATCATGGATTGTAAGCTCTTTGGGATGGACAGTGTCTGCTTGTATATGCGGCTAGTGCTTAATAAAGCTTACAGAGTAGGCCTGGAGACTGTACTTCCCTCTCATGGCCTGCCCCCTCTTGAAACAGGCTGGAGCACCTGGGTAATAGCCACATGGAGATCCTTGAATTGCCTATGGTGTGCCTCTGATTACAGCTAAAAGGAGCCAGGTCTCCAGGGTTGCATGTTAATAATATCATACACCCTAGAGGCTTTGTGTGTTCACAGAAGAGAAAGTTTAAAGGAGCGTAGTATCACAAAGGCCAACAGCCCAATCTCATCCTTCAGACATGATACATTGTGCCCTATCATTCTCACCTCATTCGGGCTAAAATCCAACTGAAGGAGCACAAGATGGGGCCTATGGTGAACACAGGTGATTCAGAGACAACTTTTATAAATTCCACCAACACTCCTAATACAGCTTCTCTGGTAAAAAAGGGTTTCTGTTTATACTAGTTGTTTTTAAGTGTTGCCCATGGCAGTTTAAAATTTAGACTAAATCTTCATATTGGAAGGGGAACTCTCCTTGTTACTTTTTCGTTTCCTCTTTCTTCAAGGCCAGATTAGAACAGCAGTAAGAGAGACTTCACTATATGATGTGTGAAAGTATACAAAGCTTATCTGAAAACCAAGGGAAGCCACAGAGCAATTGACTATCTTGCAGCTAAGAAAAGAACCAGAAGACCAGCTGTAGCTGCAAGAACAAGTACCGTATATACATGATCATAAGCCAGTTCGTTTATAAGCCAACCCCCCCCCCAAAATGGATAGGTAAAAATAGCAAAAACTATATGACCCTTTCATAAGCCGACCCTATATTTCAGGGGTTGGCAAACTTTGGCTCCCGGCCCGTCAGGGTAAGCCGCTGGCGGGTCGGGACGTTTTGTTTACCTGGAGTGTTCACAGGCACAGAGCCCCTCAGCTCCCAGAGGCCGCGGTTCGCCGTTCCCAGCCAATGGGACCTGCGGGAAGTGGCACCACTTCCTGCAGCTCCCATTGGCTGGGAATGGTGAGCCACAGGGAACTGAGGGGGTCCATGCCTGCAGACGCTCCAGGTAAACAAAATGACAATGTATTAGATATTCAATTCCATGATTTCACAGTGTTTAAAATCATCAAATTTTGGTGTAGACCTGTTGAAAAGCCGACCCCCGCTCTTTGATGCGTCACTTTTTTACCAAAAATATTCGGCTTATGAACGAGTATATACGGTACTAGGGAAACTGTGAGAAAAATATGTTTAAAGCCCCCATGTGGCTCATGAAAGCCAGTTTGCCGATTGCACACCTGGCAATGGAAAGTGGGTACTGATGATACAACATTTCTGAGATTGAATTCAATAAAACCTTTTGCAAGTTGATAACAAGCAAGTGGAGGGAGATGATCTTTCCTACCAAATGGCTAACCAATGCTCAGGTATGGCTCCAGGACCTCACAGCACTCTCAATGCACACAGTCACATGGAAGTTTCTCCAAGATATCTTTCCTAGTTCCTATTCTAGGGATCCATTTACTTCTGTTTTTCACTTTGAAAGTGGATTAAGCTAAAACTCAGATAAAAAGGCACTCATTCTGGAGAAAGAGTATCCATGTGTGGGGTCATACTAAAGTAACTGTTCTGGAATAATTATTCTGGAATGGCTATTTTGGTAAATTTCCAAGTGTACACAAGCCCTAAACCTAAAGGAGATTTTCAGTTTTCATTTTCATTGACTTCTGACACTTTCCCTTATGAAGGCCACCCAAGAGCACAAAAACTCATCTCCAGGACTTTTCCTGAAGATCGTAGGTTATTCACGCACCGATATGTGAATATCGCCCAAGGTCAATCTGTAGGGCCCATAGACTTGCAGTCATATCCCCCTTTATATGTGGCAGGAGCAGACCAATTCAGAGTTGTGAGGTAGTTCCACTCGGAGTGTTACTGATGGTGCTAGGGCCACCACATGTTCCCTCCTGGCTGCCTGCCTTGAAGCAAACTCCTCTGATGAGGCGTTATTGTGATCTCCAGTCGTTATGAAGGGTAGCTCAACAGCACAAGAGAAACCCAAGATAATGAATTAAGCACAGGAATGGAGTTCTAATCCTAGGTCTGATATCATCTCAATAAATGCTCTAGTCAAGTCACTTAACCCTTGTGTTCCTCTCCCTCCTTTACTCTGCCTCAGAGGTGCTGGACCTAGGGGTGCTGGGGTTCTGCCACACTGCCTGGCTTGAAGTAGTAACAACCACCCAAATACATTGTTTCCAGCTTCAGTACCCCGCTATAAAAATTGTTCCAGCACCACTGCTCTGCCTACTTCATGGAGGTGTTGCATAGATTATAAAGACTAATATATCATTGCAAGTGTTAAAATTCACCAGAATGCAAACAAAATTCTAATGGGTGAGAGCTAGTGGATCCCAGAACTGAGAGCTCATTTGGAGAAATGTCCACTGAAATGCCTAAGTGTTTGGCAACACATGGAGCTCAACACAAAGTCATGCTTCACTTTTGCAGCAGGAGACTGAGTGAGCCGTTCCTGATGCCTTGTTTTTAAAATAAAGTAAGGGGTGCCGTAGATTTTCATATTACAGATTCTTCCCAAAATCCCAGGACTGCCCCTTTGCATGCACGTATGATCATACTGAACAGTTCGGGGAGGGGGAAGGGAGTGGCCTGAGAAATTGTTTCACAGGTCCTCCTTAGAAGGACAGCTCTGTGAGAGAAGAACAAAACCAGCCAACCAACCAGCAGGAAGCAAGCAACAGCAGAATGATCAGAGTGGTCAATAGGCAGCCTTGGACAGTACTAGCACAGAAGGTCAATCAGTAGTCCTTGTACAGACCCACATACCAAGACACTGGCTACTTTAAGTGACACCTTAAAAGTACAGCACTACTCACCAACTAGTGAGAGCTCTTAGTGCCAGACTATGTACTTGAATACACAATTCCCATTTTAGTCAAAGCATGTTGCTTGTGTTGGGGGTCTAATTTGGCTCCAACGATCACTTCAACGCTACCCTCTCCTCTGAGAGTCTGTCCTTTCAGTCACTGCCCTGAGGCCATCTGTCCAAATAGTCTCTCTAGCCAATCTCCTTCTGGAAGTTACATGCCCCATTTTTATTTATGCCCTTGCACTTGTTTACGAGATAGACTCCTGTTTGCACAGGCTCCAACATGCCTAAACTCTGTAATTCAGATTCTAATCTTCCTTCACTTGGCTCTTGCTGCTGCTAACACTCTTCATGATACTGTTGGGTTGCTTTTTGGCCATCTTCCCAGTTTCTCTGGTTTGCAGAATTCTAATCTAGTTTGTCAATAGTTCCTGGAGGTACCTCAAGTTTTCTCAGCTGGTACCCAAGAGCAAACAAACTAAATGAAACTGACTCACCATATTAGCTAGATGTTAAGTTCCCTTCAGTGCTCTCTCACTTCCACAATGAAGATGATCTACTCCGCGCTTATGGTGAGTAGGAGCATATTCCAGGGTGCCTCAATTTGACACCTCACTCCTTACATTCTCAGTTCAGTCTACCCTACAACATTTTGCTTGTATAGCTATGTCAGGCAGGAGTGTGGAAAAACCTCACCACACTTGACACAGCTGCGCTGGCACAACCCCCACTGTAGACAACTATGCTGACCTAAGTGCTTCTGTTGCAGAAGACGTTTTTCTGTTGGCATAGTAACGTCTACGCTAGGGGGCTAAGCTAGTATAACTATACCAGCAATGCATTTGTAGTACAGACAAGGCTCAGTCTTGGGAGCTTGTCTGGCAGTTTCATTGCCTAGATCATCCCCAATGTTGATCTTACTGGTCTTCAAAACAACCTTTCCAAATTTTCAAAAGATGAGCCTTCTCCAGGAAGATGGAGGCAAACTGTGTCACCTCTTCAACTTGTGTTGAAGGCCTACGCAAAGTGAGCACTTGAAGAACATGTAGATCCTTTATAGTGGATTTCATTCTCTCTTTCATGCTTTGATAAGCAGTGTGATAGGCCATCATCATAGCTTATTGTTCCAAAACCGCAGCCACTATCTGGTGTCATCACTTACTGTGAATAGTTCCTTGGGAGAACAGGATGTTGACAGAAGGCACCATAACAGGCAGTGTCCAAGTGTTTGCTTAGGCTCTCCACAATCACATTTGGGGTCATTTCTCAGCTTCCACCTCAGTCATATTGTCACCAGTCTTTACCAGCCCAGCTCCTACCCCAATTTAGAATACACCAGTGTTTTCATTTAAGGTCAGTGCCTGGAGGGAATTGTTTTAAAGGAACCAGGTTCTGCAAGACCAGCAGCATTTTGCATCATTTTGTTATTCTACAGCCTTCCATCGTGGTATTTTGGGGAAGGGATTTTCAGGGGCAAAGCTCTTTCTGGACTTCAGCCTCTTGAGTGGTGGAATGTATCTGTGCAGTGTGTGTCTTGGATCATATACCTGTTTTTGTCTCTCCTTCTTACTGAAGACATTCCACCTCACTAATAGTGGTGCAACTGCTGCGAGGCAGTATAGTGACAGTGTGAGAGTCCATTTCAAAGTCCCTATGAAAAACCTACAGTATTGATAAAAAGTTCAGTATCAATTCTGTGTGCGTGGCTTGAGCATGACCATAGTGGCATGCTGTGTTCTGGAGTTGAACACCACAAGATGAGACTAGTTGCTCTGAGTGTTTTGGGGTCAGCTCCCCAGTTTGTGTTGACCAGTTTCCTAGAGTTCACTTTCTTTTTCAACTTCATGTGCTCTTTGAATGTCAGAATTCGGTCTAATGCAACCCCAGTGTACACCGGATGTTCATAGTACTAAAGGGACTGTACTATCCCAGAGTGACTGGACTTTTTGCTTGGCCTGTCTGTTTTAGGTGGAAGGTATACACTTATGTCTTACTTGGGTTGGCAGTCAGGAACAACATGTGATAGTATTCTCCAAGTACACTCAGGAGGCCAGTTAGAATGCACTCAAAGTTCTCAAATCTTTTGACTGCATGGCAATGTAAAGGTCATCTGTATAAGTTAATTTTCACACACAGGGAATTCTGACTGTTTATTTCTGTAGACAATAAACAGCAAGGGTGATAGTACTGAACCTTAGGGCAATCCATTCCCCTGAGTATACCATCTGCTTTTCTGACCATCTGTCTTGATGAAGTAACATCAATTCTTGAGCAGAGAGCACATGACCTGGACCATTTTGCCATTTCTCAAAATTGCCAGTTTCAGTTCATAGTGTCATAAGCAGCCAACAGATAGTTCCAAAACCTGCAAAATGACAGGGGCTATCTTCAATGTATTGAGTTAGGTTTACAACTTAACCACAGAATGAATGTCTTGTGTGGAAACCAACTTGGTCATCAGTCAGCTGCCCTTCCACTATTATGCAATTATACCCATTTTCATCCAGTCATATGCTTGTAAGTTGAGCAGAGTAAGGATATTGGTCAGTAAGTCTTTGCAAGTTCAGTTCTATATGTGGTTTATGTGCAACCACTTTAGCTTGTCTCCACAGCCTGGGTATTTGCATTGTCTCCATGTTTGATAAATTAAAGGGGTGGGGGTAGCTCCCTTTTATGAACACCCAGCCAGCCAGCCAGCTATAAAATCCCTCTTAGTAGTTGTTCTCTACTTGCTTTATCTGTAAAAGGTTAAAAAGTCTCCCTGCATAGGTAAAAGGAAGTGAGTGGGCACCTGGCCAAAAGAGCCAATAGGAAGGCTAAAACTTTTTAAACGTGAAACAGGACTCCCCTTTTGTCTGTCTGTTGTTGCTCTCTGGAGAGAGGGGACAGACCAGCGATGCTGTAAGAAGTTTTGGGCCAGGTATGAAAAAAATCATCAGATCATACCTAGAAACTACTCATTTGAAAGCCCAGATATGTAAGTAGATCAGGGAATGTCTAGGAAGACACGATTAGGTTTATTTCTTTATGGCTTGTGGACTCCTCTGTGCTAACCCCAAATGCTTTTGTTTTGCTTGTAACCTTTAAGCTGGACCTCAAGAAACTATTTTTGATGCTTAATCCTTGTATTTGCTCTTTTAAAATCTAGCAATAGCCTGAGTTTCCAGATGTATTTTCTCTTTTAGTTTTAATAAAATTTACCTTTTCTAAGAACAGAATTGGATTTTTGTGTCCTAAGGGGTTTGTGCACACGTTGTTTAATTAGCTGGTGGCAACAGCTGATTTCCTTTGTTTTTCTTTTTCAGCTCTTCCCCGGAGAGGGTGCGAAAGGGCTTGAGGGTACCCCAGAGGAAGGAAATCCCAAGTGCACCTTCCTGGGTTCTCAAAGGGGTTTTTGCACTTGGTTGGTGGCAGCGTCTACCCATCCAAGGTCAGAGAAAAGCTGTAATCTTGGAAGTTTAATACAAGCCTGGAGTGGCCAGTATTAATTTTTAGAATCCTTGTGGGCTCAGAGTGCCAGAGTATGGAATCAGCCTTGACACCATGCAAGAATTCAAGAAATCAAGTGGCCACTTCTTTGCTCTCATCCCAAAGTGTAGAAGTAGTTCAAATAGATACACCATTGCATCCAGCACCCTTTCCACACTTCAGGATTTTCATGGCTACTGCTAGCTCCGCAGTGTTGACCTGCACATTGAGGAATCTACAATCTCTCAAGTGACAGCAGAGTTCCTGCTTAGCCTGTTTTGTTTTGCACTTTGCTTTGTGGGCTGGTTTACCATTTAGGATGAGTTGGTGTGCAACTTGGTTGGGAGAGACTGTGACGATAGGCTTTGGTTGATGTCCATTAGGGTTAAGCTTGCAAATGGTGACCCATGCTTTTTGCTATTACGGCACATGCTTGTTGTTTCAATCAGCTCCCCCAGAGGTTGTGCCACTCCTTATTTCCCTGAACCTGATGGTTTCTTCACTGAAGGGATCCAAGTCAAACAGTTCTGAATCTCTCTTATATTGTTGGCTGGTTTGTTCTGAAAGTCCAGGCACATCTAGTGTCTGACATCTCCTGGAGATGGGCTTTTGGGCAATCTTCAACACTAGGGAGACAAGTTTGCCAGAGTGCTTGTGGGTTGGAGTATTATTACCGACAGATCAGCCTTTTGGAAGTTGAATCTCATCAGGTGCCTTGTTTTCCTGGATTATACTGCAGCCTCTATTGTCACTTACACTAGTCTGTGCTGCCATCTTGGGAACACCTCCCTTCTGAAGCTCCCTATATTTTCAGAGGTGACAAAAGCTATGTCGGAATGAGGGGTGCAATCCCTACATGAGCTTTGAAAGGTACATTTATCCTTGAAATTGTACAACAAGGTCTAGTTTGTTGCCTCCCACTTCATAACTTCTTCCCCATTGTAGTAGTATCCTCAGATGGTTGTGTGACTGGGGAAGTCGCCTATGACAAGGCACGATTTTTCTGACAGAGGAACGTCAGTTGGCCATGCAAATTGTTCACTAAGTGGTTTGCAGACAAACTACTGCTATTTGGTCAAGCTCAACCACAAGAGTTCCACTGTAGATTGATGTTTCACAGCAGTATTTTTCATCTATCTTTTGTCACATACAAGTATTGTGCTACTATAGGTGTTGCTTTTGATGTTCACTGCTTTATGCATACCAGGGATGTTTGGTTGTCTCTGTCTTGCAGGCACAGGAGGTCTGCTTTCTTGCCAGATATGTCAGCTTTCTCTGCAGAGAATCCCTCCACACTGGAGTTACTCAATAGACTCAGACTTTAAGGCCAGAAAGAACAATCATGATCATCTAGTCTGACCTCCTGAAACATTGCAGCCCACAGAACCTCACCAGTCCCCTTCACTAATAGGCCCATAACCTCTGGCTGAGTTACTGAAGTCCTCAAATCATGATGTAAAGATTTCAAGTTACAGAGAATCCATCATTTACACCAGTTGAAACCCGCAAGTGACCTGTACCCCATGCTGCAGGGGAAGGTGCAAAAACCAAAACCAAAACACAGGTCTCTGACAACCTGATTCAGGGAAAATTCCTTCCCGACTCCAAATACAGCGATCAGTGAGACACTGAGCAGGTGGACAAGACCCAGCAGCCATATATCAGGGAAAGAATTCTCTGTAGTAACTCAGAGCTTTCGCACCTAGTGTTCCATCAGTGGCCACTAGAGATATTTGCTACTAGCAGTCGCAGATCAACTACATGCCATCACAGGCAGTCTCATCATATCATCTCCTCCATAAATGTATCAAGCTCGGCCTTGAAGCCAGTTAAGTTTTTCAGCCCTAGTACTCCCCTTGGAAGGCTGTTCCAGAATTTCACTCCTCTGAGGGTTAGAAACTTTCATCTAATTTCAGGCCTCAACTTGCTGATGGCCAGTTTATATCCATTTGTTCTTGCGTCAACACTGGTGCCTAACTTAAGTAACTCTTCCCCCTCCCCAGTATTTATCCTTTGACAACTGCAATTGGGGTCATATTTTGAAAATTGTTTGCAACAATAACAGCTTTTTTTTGTTTTAAAACTGAAGTAGAGACTCAGAGAAACTGAGAAGCCAACCCACCCATATCTCCACCTGAGCCAGTCCTTCAGGGAAATGGCCTACTTAGGTAAATGCTGCTTTAGAGAATGTGCAAGAATTGCCAAGTGGATGCCAGCTGAGACTTGATTTATTGCCACCACTCAAAGCTCAGAAACTTTTCTCACCAGGGACATCATTACTCAAGAGAAGTCATTAGTTAGCCTTTCATTTCCAATTGCTGCACGAAATCAAAAGTAGGTCTTAACCTAATAAAAGTTGAAGAGGTCATGCAATTCTCCTGCATAATACGAGAAGAAGCACAATGACTTGCACTGAGTGCACACAACTCTCCTGTGTATTAGGTTGAAAATTCTTCTATTCCATCCTCTTCATATGTACAAAAAAAAAAAAAACCCTAAGAGGGCCACTATGCAATGCAATTAAACAATGGACAGGAGTTCGTCCTCTTCCAGAGTCATCACATTAAACAGAGCTACCAGCAGCTGCTGAACTTTGCAGCCAGATAAGTTTTATAGGCAAGAGCTCTGTTCAGATTTCCAAAACTGAATGCAGTCCTTTTGCTGAATCTCTCATGTTTTATATTTTAATTGTTTTATTTGTCTGTGTTATTTGAGCTGGAAGAGACTCATTATCATTCATTTCCACCTGGATTTGCTCTCTTCTTCCCCCTCCCCCAGATTAATTGGTTTAATTAGCAAAGCATCTCATTCGACTGGCAAAGGGTCTTGTTCCAAAACAATGGTGACAAAAATAACCATTGTTTTACTCGAATTAAAGATGAACTGCAAAAAAAGTTGCAGCAGCAGCAGCATGGTGTGAAAGCCCCCCACCCCGCACTAATCAATCTTCGAGGAGCATACAGCACGCACACAAGCGCTAACCCGAATACACACATCATTTTAAATTCTCTAGAGTCACCCTAGCTAGCGTCTACTCAGCTACAACACCCCTTTGTAATGTCACAACTGATAATTATTGGTCTATAGACATAGGCCCATCACTAATTGGATAATTTCTTATAGGCATGATGCTAGAGCTGAACGCAAAGATATTTAAAACAAAACAGAAAATCCAAGCGGGGAAACTCAGGACAAGCAGCGCAGGCATTCTGAGTTCAGAGTAGAAGCAAGTGGGGCTTCTGAGGGTGGGCAACACCAAGGAATGTTTGCATTTTGAGAGGAAGATGCATACAAGAAAGAGGGAGGAGTTGAGAATGAGGGCAAGAAAGATCTGTAGTAAAAGTCTGTCTCCACACTGCCACTTTCAGCGCTAAACTTTAGTCATTCAGGGGTGTGAAAAAATACATCCTTGAGCAACAAACGTTTAAGCGCTGAAAAGCGCCAGTATAGACAGCTCCAGGCGATAAAGCTACCACCACCCGTTCAGGGTGGTTTTATTTATTTATCTTAATCACTGGGAGAGCGATTAAAAAAATTGCATGAGAAGCCCCACTGATAAAGCGTGTTTACATGGGCAGTATAGACATCAACCTGTACCTGTTACTTTGGGTAAGAGCCAGAGGTAGACAACAAACAGGCACCAATGGAAATCGGGGAAGGATCTGCATGGGGATTGTGGGAGGATCTTGTTGAAAAAGTGGTGCAGTCTTCCACAAAGAGAAAAAGAGGAGCTATGGCAGGTGAGTGGAGAGCGGTAAGGAGGGAGTCACCAGGTAGTAAATAAACAGCTGGAATTGTGGGTAAGATCAACAGGAAGATTAAAGTTAGGAGAGGGAAAAATAGATGGGGAAGACAGGCTGTGTTAATAGCCACTCAGAGAAGGAGCAGAGTTAGTGCTCTTTGAGGCTCAGCTTTCCCATTTTGTGCACACAACAGTTTACAAAGTGTATTTAAAAGTTGTTTTTATAGTGTTTTAAAAGCTTTTAGAATAGAAAAACCCAGCACAGCTTCCAAGAACTGCACTAGATCAATGATTCAGTGGGAGAGACACTACAGCAGAACTGGGAATTGTGACATCACAGACACTAAAAAGAGGTTCGTTTTGTGTGCAGAATACTCCACTTAGCCTGCTTTAAAGGTGAACTTAAAAGGAAAGTATCAAGGAAGCCCTTTATTTCAATAGTAAACTTCTATTATTGCTTCCAGACAACTCAAGATTCAGGCTCACCACCCAGTTATGAAATAAGATAAAGCATTCTACAGGAATGAGGTTTATATTTTTACAGAGCCAAGTTTTGGAGGAATGCCATGGAATATTTTTCAGGAATCTGCAAAACAGCATATTAACAAACATGAAAAGCCTGTTTTCAAAGAGTGTTTGAGTTACTAAAATAAATGGCAAACAGTCACTTTTAGAGGAACATGCTAAATATAACTGCGGTTTGATGCTAGAGGCAGGGAAAGGAGTGAAGAGTCAAGTGTTTCTGCTGCAAAGTGACTTTTCTGGAATGATAAAGTGGCAAACACTTGCCAAATCAGACATGATTCAGAGAGGAAGAAGCAACGGGTGGTACAGAGGGGTGGGGGGAGAGAAGGAAAGTTTTGGTCTCCGATGCAAATACATAGGTTCTGCAGTCAGAGTCTCATGCACAGTCAGCAGCAGTCCAATTAAGCCTATCAATTCCCGGAGTCAGAACAACCTAACCTCATTCATTCGCACCCGTAAAGTGTGTTTAGGGCTGCAATGCAAGAACCCACATTTTAAATGCTAGTTTCACTCTCAGCTCTGTCAGAGCTCAAGCAGGACTCAGCAGGGCCTGTCTGCAGAGGATTCCCGAAGTCACCCTCTCCCTTGTGTCTCTCGCCAGCCACACTGGGGCTGGAGGACTGCTCCCCAAAACTCAGCCAGCCAGCCAGCCCGCCCGCTCACCGGCGCCAACCAAAGGCACCCCGCGTCCTGGGCACAACGGGCACGGGGCTAGCCCCCTGAGCACTCGCACGGCCGGCGGCTAGCCAGGGGCAGGCGCTCTGCGGCCGGCTGGGGTAGGGGGTAGGCGCGGAGATCTGCTTACAGTCGGAACATCTGCTCCATGTCCTTGATCTGCCGCCGGCTGAACTCCTTGAATTCGGTGTAGGGGTTGAAGACCTTGGCCTGGCGGGGCCGTGCCGTGCCATCGTTGATGTCCTGCCTGCGGCTCAGCTTGGCGCCCAGCTCCGAGTCGGCGCTGGCGAACATGGAGCTCCTGCTCTCCTCCTCCTCCTCCTGGCCGGCCCCCCAGCCCGCCGCTGCCTCCTCCCCGCCGGGCGCAGGCTCCGGGCCGCTCTCTTCTAGCAGCAGCCGGCGCTGCAGCTTCTGGGCCAGCTCGTCAGTGGCCATGGCGAGGCGCGCTGGGGACAGGCGGGAGCCGCCCTGCGCTCACACGGCGAGTTCCGAGCCCGCGCCCCGCGGCCGCCCCTGAACTTTATTCCCAGGCTCCAGGAGCAGGGCGGGGCGGAGAGTTAAGGACGCGCCGGAAAGTTCCCTCGCGTGCCTGGGACTGGGGGCCCCAGAAACAGCCCCGAAGCCAGGCTCTCCGGACACGCCCCACTTACCCCTCTCCTAGTCGAGCCCCCCACTCCGAGCCCAACCCCTTCTATACCCAGCTCCACTACTTCACACACCCTGACCCAGCCCAGCCCCGCCCACCCCCAGCTCCACTACCTCACACACCCTGACCCAGCCCAGCTCACCCCAGTCCTAGCCCAGCCCCTCCCACCCCCAGCTCCACTACCTCACACACCCTGACCCAGCCCAGCTCACCCCAGTCCTAGCCCAGCCCCTCCCACCCCCAGCTCCACTACCTCACACACCCTGACCCAGCCCAGCTCACCCCAGTCCTAGCCCAGCCCCTCCCACCCCCAGCTCCACTACCTCACACACCCTGACCCAGCCCAGCTCACCCCAGTCCTAGCCCAGCCCCTCCCACCCCCAGCTCCACTACCTCACACACCCTGATCCAGCCCAGCTCACCCCACTCCTAGCCCAGCCCCGCCCCTCCCACCCCCAGTCCACCTCGCTCCCCCCAATACCCTATCCCTTGCCCCACTCCCCCCACACCCAGCCCAGCCCACCTCGCTCCCCGCTCCTACCCAGCCCCCTAACCTCATTCCCCCTACACCCAGCCCTGTCCCAGTCCCCCTGCACATACCCTGCCCAGCTCTCCCACCCCACTCAGCCCCCACCCCCTGCTCAGCTCACCCCACTCTCCCCAAAACCAGCCTACCTCACACCTTGCCCTTCCCAGCTCTCCCACCCCACTTTCCCCACACACACACCCAGTCTGCACCACACGCTGCCCAGCTCTCCCACCCCACTCCTCCCCCTGCTCTGCTCCAGTCCCCTCACACCCTGCCCTGCCCTCCTGCCCTAGTCCCCCTATCCTCCTCTCCCCACACCCTGCCCACCCCACTCCCCCACATCCATTTCAGATCAGCCTTCTCCACCCCACCCTGAGCGGACACTGCTGCGCAGGCCAGCACTGTGGGCAAGAGAGGGGTCAGCTCACCTCTGGAGGACCTCGATAAACGTACGGCAGCTGGCTCTGCTTTGAGCTGCGGGCACCTCCCAGCCCTGCTCTAGCATCTGACCAGCCTATGCTTGGGGCTGCCCACCCTGAGGGAGCAGGCCCATTCCTCTGCAGGGCCCAGGATAGCACCTGTATGTGCCCCCTGCGCCCTGTCCTGGGTGCCTGCTGAATGGACTCTCCTTCCCGTGCCAGACACGGCTCAGCGGCCTGCACAGCATGAGGAATGTCATTTCCATGGAGCTGAGATGCTTACCCTGCCACGCCAGCATGAGGACACACAAGTGTAGGAAGCCATACCAGTCCAGCAGTTGGTTCCTCTTGCCATCTGGAAGCTGGCTACCCTAATCTGCTGCAGGCAGGTCAACTATCAGTACTGTGGTGAAGCAAATATTGCTGTGGTTTACCAACAGGTAGTAGACATAGCTAATATACCCAAAATAGAATCATAGATGTGTAGGACTGGAAGGGACCTCAACAGGTTATCTAGTCCAGTCCCCTGCACTAAAGGCAGGACTATTATCTAGACCATCCCTCACAGGTGTTTGTCTAACCTGTTCTTAAAAACCTCCAAAGACAGGGATTCCACAGCCTCTATGGGCAATTTGTTCCAGTGCTTAACTAGCCTGACAGGAAGTTTTTCCTGATGTCCAACCCTTTCTGTAGTTTAAGGCCACTGCTTGTCCTATTCTCAGAGGTTAAGGAGAACAATTTTTTACCCTTCTTGTAATAACCTTTTATGTACTTGAAAACAGTTATGTCCAGTTTGTTTTTCAATCTTCCCTCATGGTTCATGTGTTCTAGACATGTAATCATTTTTTTGCTGTCCTCTGGACTTTCTCCAATTTGTCCACATCTTTCCTGAAATGTGGTGCCCAGAATTGGACACAATACTCCAGCTGAGGCCTTATCAGCACAGAGTAGAGCAGAAGAATTACTTTTTGTGTCTTTCTTACAACACTCCTGCTAATACAGCCCAGAACATAGGTGCCTACTTGCCCCCTGCCCTGTGGGTGCTCAACCCCCCACCCACCCGTGCACCTCCCTCGCCCTGCCCCAGTTCCACCTCCTTCCCCCAAGTCCCCACCTGCACCCCGCCTCTTTAGTGCCTCCTCCCACAAGCACGCCACATCCCTACTCCTCCCTACACCTCCCGGAAAGTCCTAAGCGCTGCCAAACAGCTGTTAGGCAGCGGGCGGGAAGTCCTGAGAGGAGGAGGAGGGGGACTCCCTGCTCGGGGATGAGGGGGGGAGATCTTGGCTGCCAGTGGGTGTGGAGCACCTGCTAATTTTTCCCAGTGGGTGTTCCAGCCCCACAGCACCCACAGAGTCAGCGCCTATGGCCCAGAATGATATTTGGTTTTTTTGCAACAGCGTTACACTGTTGACTCATATTTATCTTGTGATCCACAATAACCTCCAGATCCCTTTCCTCAGTACTCCTTCCTAGGCAATCATTTCCCATTTTGTATGTGTGCAATTGATTGTTTTTTCCTCAGTGGAGTACTTTTCATTTGTCCTTATTGAATTTCACCCTATGTACTTCAGACCATTTCTCCAGTTTGTCCAGCTCTTTTTGAATTTGAATTCTATCCTTCAAAGCACTTGTAACTTCTCCCAGCTTGGTATTGTCCTCAAACATCATGTACTCTCTATGCTATTATCTAAATCATTTATGAAGATATTGAACAGAACTGGACCCAAGACTGATCCCTGTGGGACCCGATTTGATATGCCCTTCCAGCCTGACTGTGAACTACTGATAACTACTCTCTGGGAATGTTTTTCCAACCAGTTATGCACCCACATTTTTCATAGCTCCATCTAGGCTGCATTTCCCTAGTTTGTTTATGAGGAGATCATGGGGGACAGTATCAAAAGCCTTACTAAAGTCAAGATATACCACATCTACCACAAGGCTTGTTACCGTGTCTAAGGAAGCTATTAGGTTGGTTTGACACAATTTGTTCTTGACAGACAAATCCATGTTGATTGTTACATATAACTTTATTATCTTCTAGGTGTTTGCAAATGTATTGATTATTTGCGCCATTATCTTTCTGGGTACTGAAGTTAAGTTGACTCGTTCGTAATTCCGCAGGTTATCCTTATTTCCCTCTTTATAGATTGGCACTATATTTGCCCTAGTAGATTAGCTGGATTTGAAAGAATAGTTTCCTGAATGGTGCTGAGTCATCAGTGGCACATGCACATATAGTTTGCCCACTACAAGGAGTGCATGATTGTCAAATGGAAAGGCTACTGCTCCATCGTTCTGCAGATCTTGGTCAGTATCACTGTTACTTTAGGGGTCTCCACTTAGTTTTTACAGTCCGGGCTTATAAAACCCAATCCTGATGGCAGAAGACTGTTTAGAGACACTGAGCCATTACAGGATGGTGGAAGAATGTACAGTAGAACCTGAGATACCTTGGGAATGGGGGTTGTTCTTAACTCTAACACTTAACAAAACGTTTTTTTCAAAAGTTTACAATTGAACATTGCCTTATACAGCTTTGAAACTTTACTATGCAGAAGAAAAATGTTGATTTCCCTTTTTTTTAGTAGTTTACATTTATCACAGTACTATACTGCATTTGCTTTTTTTTTTTTTTTTTGGTCTCTGCTTCTGCTGCCTGATTGCATACTTCTGGTTCCAAATATGGTGTGTGGTTCAATGGTCAGTTCATAAATCTGACGTTTGTAACTCTGAGGTTCTACTGTATAGGCAAGATAGCACTGCCTACAAAACTATGGGGCTCCCCTATGCCCAATCCCATAGTAGTGTGGTATGCAGTACAACATCTACAAGGATAAAGGGAGAGAGTTTTTGCCAGGAATAGGCTCAAGCCATGACTGGTTAGCAGGCCTAATATAGGAAAACGGAAAGTGCATTTGTCATCACTAGGGCTGGATGTGGGTAAGTAAGAGACATAAGCGATGGTAGGTGTACCTGTAGCTTCACATCATCTGGTGACATTATTGCAGAAATATGATAAATTGTGTATTTTTGCAGTATGCAGATCACTGTATTTGCTATTGCTTGTAAGCAATTATAAGAGTTTGATACTTTATTAAAAACTTTGGATAAGCCTCCTGCCTCCTCTTTTCCGAAGCACTCACACTAGTTTAGTGTACAACAAAATCTTTATTAAAAAATAAAAATTAATACCAACCCCTCTATTTAGAGTTATTATAGGCATCCCAGCAGGAAATAACTAGAGGTCAAACATGCATAGGTGCCAACTTCATGAGTGCTCCAGGGCTCATGAGCCACAATGTTTTGTTTTTTTATGTGATAAGTTTATTAAAGATGTCAGTTGGAAGTTACTTTGTCTTAAACTGACATTTTACAATGGCACCAGTAGGTGGCAAGAGCATGTACATGGCACGCAGTGAAACTGGAAGGCAAAATTATTAGACCCTGTATATAGTATACTGTAGTATACTGTTATTCACGGTTAAGTAATGGATGTGAGTAGGGCCAGGTTGAAAGATGGATAAATTTGTGTTGAAAAACCAACAGCGGGGAACCTTCAGGAACTCAAAGTGCTTCAGCAAATACAGTAGAATCTGCTACAACAGTGGACGATCTGACTGCTGAATCTGCTACCAGTAGTTTTGATAACAATGAGAGCAAACAAAACACCAAAGAAAAATGAGGCAAAGGGAGATCTTTTCTAGAGAGTTGGGGAGGATGTGCGCAGTATAAATGGACAGAATATGGTAGTGTGAAGGATTGTGTTTCCTGCTCTGTTTGCTGCAAAGCAGCTATGGCTAGACATTTTCTCCCATTTACAAGTAGAGACAAAGAATCATTAGCAGCTTTTGTGAATAATGGGTTTTGCTCAAGGAACAAAGCATTAGAAAGGTTTTCATCCCATGAAAAGTCTTGTGTACACTAAGCTGC